TCAGTGCAAAAAAACATGTACATTTTTTAAGGTGATCACAGTGAATTTGATAATCATCATGAAGTGTAAAAATCACTATGAAAATAAAATATCACAATAAATTTCGAACTCTATTAATATGGTGATGATTTTAAAAATATAACAAAAAAATTAATTTTACTATGATAATTTTAAATAAAAACCATATTTTTTACTTATTAAGAAACAAACAATTTTTTATTTATAAAATTAATTATATATAGTTTATATAATAAAATTATTAATTATTGTGCAATCAAAAGATTATTTTTTTTAAAATAAATAAATAAAAATAATTATTTTTACAAATATATATAAAAACCGCAATTGAGTTGTGTGAAGGGGGAATTTGTATTTATTGATAGAAAAGAGTTTCCGTTGATCTTGCGGAGACTTTGGATACATTTCAGTAGCTAGTTAGTTACAATTAACACAACAATGAAAGTCTTCCGCTATTTTTCATTAAAACTTTTTTGTTAAGAAAAAAAAAACGTGAAAAAATTTGATATTGTAAATTCAATCGTAAATAATTTATAATACAAAATTATCATCTATATATAAAATGTGCATTATTCATCATCTAAATATAGAATAATTAAGATAAAATCAAAAAGAAAAAACACAATGTACTAATAATTTGTATTATTATATAAACTGGAAATAAAAAGTCTGTACTCGATATAATTCTTTTTTGTGTGTTTTTTTTAATATTTTTTGGTAAAACGAATAATTAACAGAATAAAATACATTTAAAAAGAGAAAAACACAGAACATAAAAAACTCATATTTTTTTAAAAAGAAAAATAATTATTTTTTTAGATGAAAATTTTAAAAGAGTGGAAGTGAGTTTTAAAAAGTGGTAAAAAGTGGTTGAGTTTGGCAAATTGTAAAAGAAATTTTTTATTAAACAATGAAACCAGTAATGAGGACGCGAGAAAGTAAAATGTGTGATAAACTCCGTCATCAAAAAATAAAAGACGCATGCACGGATTTGGTTAATGGAATATCAATAACAAAAGTTTCAACTTCAAGACACCTTTCGAAAAGTACAGTTCATTCATTAAAAGTTAAGTTGGATGACAATCCACAATTTATTCCAAAATTAACAAAA